TGTTTTGAATAGAATCCTGATTTTTAAGATACACTGTCGGCACATACACCTGGCTTTACAGGGGCGTCGGAAGGTATTTTAGTGTGGTACGGGCAGCCATCTGAAGTACAATTTACTCATGGGGGAGGGGTGCCTGAGCCGAAAATTTTGGAAAATTCTAGTCGAAATCAGTGCATTTTATTGATTCACAGGGTACTTGGGTCAAATAGTGGTACGGTCAATACCGTAGTGACCGTACCGTCTGCGACGCCCCTGCTTTAGTGTTGACACACATAGAAAGACCTGTCTTGCATAGAAGCCTGTCTCATATAGAAGCCTGAAAAACGTCCCCAAAAAGTCGTATGAGCCGCCACTTTTATACACGACTTTACGGCACATAACTGGCTAGCCCATGTGAATTGTGCACATGGAACTCCACATGGAAAGCACGACAGCTGGTTGCTCTGATACCAGCAGACACAAGGATGTACATGCATGCATTATCGACAAGTGTCCAAGGATGAGCATGCACCACGGCTTACTAACAAGACAATACGACACAAGACTGGTATCTTACCCGCACTGTTTTCCCACACTCGATACCGCCGAGGGGGTGGCGGTGGAGATTGCTCCAGACAACCTCGAACAGTGCCTTCACGTCGGCATCACCTTCGTTGCGTATCTGCTCCACCAGAAGTTCTGTACATGCCGTCAACGTGGATGTCACCTGGACATACGGACACACATGGACACACACAAACACACATGAACACACGGACACACACAGACACGCAAACACACACTGACACACGAACACACACATGGTCATGTGGACATACGTGGACACACAAACACACGAGTACACAGGCCCGGTGAATGAAAATCTCTAGCCGAAAAAGTCGTGAGATTCTGTCCGCACCAATCAGACACGCATGGGAGAGATGTACAAGTCGTCAAGACTCCATAACCCCAAGAGTGTGCAACTCTGACGTCCGAGCTGTGGGTGTCATGCGCGTCGCTGCCTTCATTGCGTAGTGAAATGACGATCAAGCTGCCCGCATTAAGAGTTTCCCTACGGTTTAGCCTCGACAATTTGATGTGCAATATGGTAAGTTAAAGGGAAATTCCTGTGCTTGCCGCGTCACGTACAAGACCATCCGAAGTCTCCGAGGAAAGCGGATTTTGAAGCAGGAACCCGTAGCAGGTCAATAATGACGCAATGGTCCCACAGTCCGTGGCTACGCAATGCGGGGAGCGTGGCCGCGCCAGACCCCATAATATGCAGAGTTGCACACTCTTGGGCTTACGTACCGTACTTTCCGGAGTATAAGCCGCACTTGGAAAACTAAATATTCACCCCAAAAAAGGGGGAGTGGCGTATACTCCCGATGATCAAATTAACGGTGATAAGTAGGATAGGTTCAGAACTAAATATTGCGACAGAGCTTTCGGCCATATTTTCAATTCATTGCATTCCCAACTCATCACAACCACGCGCTCTTCAGCCGAACCATACAGACACCAGCAAGGACACTTCCGGGAGCGAAACAGCTGTCTAGAGGTGTGGAGCAATATTATCTCTCAACGGAAGTGTCCTCGCTGGTGTCTGTATGGTTCGGCTGAAGAGCGCGTGGTTGTGATGAGTTGGGAATGCAATGAAGTAGGATAGGTGTCCGTATTTTGTGGCAGGAAATGGTGGGTACGGCTTATACTCCGCTGTGGTTTATACTCCGCTGTGGTTTATACTCTAGAAAATACGGCATTCTTAGTCGTAGCATATATTATATTTTTATATTTTTATTTTATTTTTTTACTAAAAGCCATGTGGTGCACGCAATGGGAACATGCAGCAGCCATGGTGGTGGGGGCCAGGCGCTCCGTCGACCAACTGGTCTCGACATCGTCACGCTCTGGACGCACCAGATAAAATTTTAATGGAAGTATGAGGGAAAGAGAAAGAACAGGGGGAGCGGGTGGGGGTTAAAGTGACCAGCTCGCTTCTAGCTGCTTACCTCCGGCGTTGTTCCCTTCTTCCCGCTGTCCATTTCCAGGCGCAGACAGTGCAGCCAGAGCTTCATGGCCTTGACGTAACGGCGTGCGTCCGCCTCCATGGCGCCACGGCAACGCAGGTAGTGTATCGTGTCCTGACTGCTGGGACCCAGAACATGCTCCCTGTGTGGTGATCACAGCAGCAGATCAGTGAACAAACGTGTAGAAGCCTCATGAAGTACATTACATGAATTTGTTTCACATCTTTGTCATGGCAATATGGCTGGCTATTCCTTGGTCACGTGAGAGAGCCACGTGGCCAAGTCACATGGCCAAGTCACATGACCAAGTCACGTGGCCAAGTCACGTGGCCAAGTCACATGACCAAGTCACATGACCAAGTCACATGGCCAAGTCACATGACCAAGTCACATAACCAAGTCACATGATAAAGTCACAAGCTAAAGTCACATAACCAGTCACAAGCTAAAGTTACAGGACCAAGACACAAAACTAAGCTATTGGTTCTGCATGGCTATCAATTCTGAACTGGTGTCCTTCTCCATCGATTGAGGGGATTGTCCCTTTAAATCCAGTGCCAATATCCATGTATGCCCCACGTATATCCCCTCGTGTTTGTACTTTGAGCTGGAATGACTGACTGTGAGAAGTTGCCATTCGAGATCGTTGGATACAACACTGATGGGCGCTGAAGAACAGAGCACCGAAGAACGACCAGGCGAGAATTTCACCAAGCACAGTATGCCAATGTATACACGGTGACTCAACCGTGCATAGACTGTAGTGCTGTCGTGGACATTGAAATCCAGTCGATAGACCGGGGCCGGCGCCCTCAGCGCGTACAGAACAGCGCTTGATTCGATGCGACCAGCAGGCTGCAGCATGCGTGTACTGCTTACCCACGGCTGCATGGCCAGCGCCCTGGGGCCGCTAGACGTGCGACCGGATTTCCATGGCCACGACAGTACATGGAAACAAGAATGGTGTAGGCTAGGAGGCTGACCCCCCCTCCCCCCCCAGTTCTTCAGCGACCAACAGTGCTGTACTAACCGTATTGCGGACGCCAGGTTGAACCCTTGCCAGTCATCTGCCAGCGTGTGTTTGAGCTTGGCACGCGACTCCGGGAACTGGATGTCGTCGTAGATGCGATACTTTGGCAGCTGGCCGTGTGCAAAGGTCATGCCACCTTCTATCGTCATAGCCTGCGACCAGATCTGCTCGGCTTTGGCTCGGTTCTGGTGCCTGCATGGATGCAACACACACAGTAGATGTACAGGAGCGTAGTGGGAAGGGGTTCCACATTGATACGGGCATGAAGATTGTGGGGGCCGTCCCCAGGAATTGTTTTGGAAAATAGGGCCCAAGTAACCCACACATTTTATAGCTTCAAAAGTCACAAGAGTGACACGATCCATAAGCAGCCATTTTGGTCGGTGAATGATTTCATCCAACTGCCAAGAAAAGCAACGTGTTAAGTTGAAATATGCTTCCCAGGAGGTTAAAACGTACTGAAAGTCCAGACAAATCGGCGTTCGTCCTGCATTTAAAAAATTCACCTACAAGCTCTTTGGGCGGAAGCTTTAAACATAAATTCTCCACGATAATTCTGCTTGTACAGAATGGTCCTTTGGTACAGTGGGTTAAATTGTTTCCATCGGATGGGTTTCCATTGTTGGAGGAAATTCTTCACAATGTAGCCAAACGGCATCACTACATTCTCCCAGTTGTCTAATCCGCTTTTGTACTGTGCCAAAGATCTGAATCTTACTCCTGCTTCTTAAAATCTATACTGCATTATCCTCTCCAATCTATCTCCCTTCCGTGCCTGTTTTTCTCCCCTCCCCACTCTCTTTCTGCTCTCTCCTGTTCTAAGTCGTCTCCTTGTGAGAAGGCACCATTGCCTGTTTGGTAGAACGACCGTAAATAAAAGTACAACAACAGCAGCAGCAGCAGCAGCAGCAGCAGCAGCAACAACAACAACAACAACAACAACAACAACAATAACAACAACAACAACAACAACAACAACAACAACAACAACAACAACAACAACAACAACAACAACAACAACAATCTCTTATTGGCGATGGTGCCATCGTGAGAATAAAGAATTCAAACAACAACAACAACACAGTGCCAATGCGTACCGATCAACATAAGCAGCACCGAGGAGCAGCATAGCCGTGGCACGCTCTTTCAGGCTGACCGGTGGCGTGGTGGATTGCAGCAAGGCATCAACCACTGAGTGCTGCGTGGACACGACAGAACACCAGCAACACAGGATGGCGCAGGGCCATGTGAGCATAACAAGCAAGCGAACAATAATATTTATTTTAATGGTAGGGTTGCAAGGAATATTCGAATATTCGATTGATATTCGCTTGGAAACACGACTGAAGGAAAAATTTTCCCCTTTGGAATATTCGTTTCAAGGAAGTGTACTGGTTAAAAATAATATTCGATGTAGGACACACCCGGGATAGACTTTGTTCACCCATTATATACACTTTTATCCGAACACCCGCGGTGAGGGCGGGCATAAGGGACCCAAGTCGACATGGAGACAATATCTACGGGTGTTTTTTGTCAAGTGGCAACAGAAAAAGACTTGGAGTCACCCAAGGGCGTCGGACACGCAACGGTCACAACGGTATAAATTAACCGTACCGCTCTTCACCCCAGCTTCCAGGCACCCGTGAATCACTAAAATGAACTGATTTGAGCTCAATCTCTCCTATCTCTATTGAACAGCCGAATGGTACCGTTCACCACTTTATTGATTCGGGATCAAACAATTTTTTTAACCAAGCCCCCCCCAGCAAGCCCCTACACTGAATTGTAGTTCAGATGACTGACCGTACGTCCCATGCCTGTATGACTGCACCCGGCTTACATACGGTCCTACAAAAAAACGCGTTCGTTAAAAGCGAGAACGGTTCGCTGCCAAGGGTCAATTCTGCATTGTGTTCAAGCAGAGACACGTGCATTGCAATTGTTTGATGCATCACGAA